CACTTGCGCAATACGGAAATATCTGCTAAGTGTGTTGCTTATCTTTGTCAACCTGGCAACCATGTGCACGTGCTCTCTCTCCAATGTGGATAAACGAGCTTGCTTTCTGAAAACACCGGTTAGTTCAGGGGCGTAAATTTCGTCCAACAGTAGGGGGGACAATAAACATAAAAATTTCTCAAGAGCAATTTTTGGAAGGGGACACAAATAATACAGCTAAAATTGTACTTGTAAGGATATTTATATACAGAGGAATGGCTTACTACTATTAGTGCAGCAGGGAGACCGTACCAAATTAGACAACTTAAAGCTGTTGTGGTCATGCCGCGACAGAGGTCGTGTCTGTTGTAGACATTACTATCCGTCACAGTGTTGCCAAGTCCGCGGTTTTCCTGTGGAATTGGGCTACTTTATCACTGTTGGCGCTGGTTGTTTTTCATGACCGAAGCGACCCCAATAACGTGTATTTTATCCCCCCCGAACGTGATTTTTACCGGGGGACCCCCTCGAAACGTGGCTAGTTTTGGCTAGTTTGAGTAGCAACTGGGAGGGTTTTGTTATGAAAATCTGGCAACCCTTTCCCTCAAGCAGGTAACATTATTGCTAACATAGCGGACTCATCAAAAATACATTGGCATCATCTGTTTTAAAAAGAGAAAATAATCACTTCATCCGATGTTTAAGTGAATATAATAGCCTTGACAGCCTTACAGGAGTTCCACAACTATTGGCTTTGTTCTCTCTCACCGGACTCGTGTGTGTGTAAGTGATGTAAAAGAGGAGAGCAGGCATTTGGACCAAAGCACTGTGATGCAAGGGAGGGGGAGACTCAAAATGTTTCTAAACTTAAAACGCATTTTTGCCCCGTTTGTGTTGTTTTACTACTTACACAATTATTTAAAGTATAAAACATTGTTATTTACAATGCACAGCGTGGTTTTTACTCATATTTTTAGAGGGGACAACCTTCTTGTCCCCGATCTCCACTTCAATATTCTATTCTCAGAAAAGTGTAATTCATCAAGTGTTCATTTATGACATGGGGAGAGAGAGAGAGAGAGAGAGAGAGAGAGAGAAAGAGAGGCTGTGTATGTATGAATTACCAGTTTTGCCACATTTCTCTATTAGCAGTGAAGCTGTGGCTTTAATTCCTTTAGAAACAATGATGTTACCAGCTCCTTGTTGAGAAAGATAATGTAGCTCTTTAAAATTGCGGGCCGCTCTAAAATGTTTGTTCCTGAATGTCTGAGTGCGGCCGCAACGTGATCAGTGTGAGTGACTGAGCGTGTGTGTGCGTTAGATACAGTGAAGACAGCGCATTAGTTTAGAACTGTTCTATTTTTTTTTTTTAAACGTAGAGAGCGCGTTAATTTGTGCAATGATAACTTACCAGCAATGTAAATATGATTTTTTATATATATTCGAATGAGTTCATTACAATATACATTTATTAGAACGAGTATATTATTATTTATGGGCTTAAAAACAAGATGCAAACAATCAAAATATTGTACCTGGTGGGGAGCGCCCAATGTAAACATGAAACATATGCAATTACCTATATTGTACAGTGGTACATTTATGGAGGCCCTTCATAATGCAGAGTTCAACTGCCTGATCTGCCTATAGTTAGAAATGGCACTATAGTATGTAGTGTTTAATAAACAGTTGTTTTACTAAATTCTGCTGAGGTGAAATTCAGTGCAGTCCTGTATGGTGAATTGGTGATACATATCATATCGTGACTTTGCTGGTGATACACAGTCCTAGTCTCCCATGTACCTCTCTTTGTTTATATTGTTTCAATTTCAGCTGATAACCAAGAGCTGTACAAGCTTTAAAATGACAGTTCACCCAAAAACATTCTGCTATCATTTACTCACCCTCATGTTGTATCAAACCTGTCTGATTTTCCTTCTTCTGTGGAACATAATAGAAGATATTTTGAGAAATGTTTTTTGTCCATACAGTCAATGGTCATTAAAATGGTTTGGTTACCAACATCCTTCAAAAAAGTTTACAGAAGAAAGAAAGTCATAGAGGTTTGTAACACCATGAGAGTGAATAAATTAAATTTTTTCATTTTTAAGTGAACTCTCTTTTAAATCAGTATGAATATATTATATTAATACAATACATAGACGTGTGTCAGACTCTGTTCCGTGTCTGTGTGTGTGTTTTCTTCCCCCACGTGCTCCAGGTTATGTTTTTGTCCTTATTTGGTTATCTTCCTGTTCCTTTCATCATAGTTCATTAGCTTCTCCCTGTGTCTCATTATTTTATCCTCCTCACCTGTTTGCCTCTCGTTATCTGCCCTATTTGAGTTCTAGCCCGTTCTGTTCTCCTTCGTCCGGAATTGTATATGTCTACCCTTGCTACGCGTGTTTTCCTTGTTCCCTGGATTTGATTAAAACCTATATGTTTGAATTCCACTCCTCGTCTCCACACTCCTTCGTCGCCGAGCTCCTCACAGTAGCATACCGTGACAACGTGAATGTTTTAAGTATATTTTCTTTTTCTTTTTTTTCCTCAATTATCCTGCAGGCCAGGTTGACAACCCTTTCCTGACTATACAATAACATAATAGAGCACAAGAGTGCTCTTAAGCTAAAGCATAGAAGCAATAACGTCCACATACACAGCACAACATATGCTGCTTTCAATACATCCTCACACATAAATATTTTAGGTGTAGACAAAGCTGAAACCGAAACTTAAATCTTAATAAAGATGTGTTCGATGCTTTGGCTTTACTCTGACCTGAGAACAGTCCTGCTTAATTCATTCTGAATTTAAATAAAAGACACTGATAACAGCTCAACAGAAAACCAGCAATGATTTCAGCCCATACAGGCAAAAAGGTGTTGTTTTTCGTCTTATGTAAGCCTAAGGTTGACATATCTGACAGATTCCTGTGCGACGACTTTGGTCTTTCAAGACATAACCAATTTACTCTAAATTGTTCAATGGAGCAGCGGTGCACATTATAGCTCTATTGTTTGTCAATGCAAATGCAAATGCACTGTTAGATAAATGCCCTGACAGGTACAGCATCTCACACTTCCTATACTAACAGAAAAGAGCAATAAAGAGGCCTGGCGATGACATGTTTATAAACCTCACGGCAACTAAGTATAAAGCTAAGATCTTTTAGAATGATCTGTCAAGTAAAGAGATTCAAACGTAGTACATTTAAAAACAGCCGTGATGGTCACTGTAAGATGTCACCTGCTTTGTTGGGGTTACTAAAACGCTAGTTACACATATTTAATTTACAAAAGGAGGATTAAAAATCTGATTGACAACTATCTTGATCATTAGACACATAAATGATACAGCTGAGTCACTTATATTCATTTAAATCTGAGTAAGATCTAACATACAGTCGGCTCGCAAAATAAAAATAGGGTTATCAGAACTTTAACATGAAACAGCTAGTTAACAAATATTTAATAAATATAAATGAAATACTGATTTGAGCGTAAATTCTTTTATTATATGAGATGAAAAAGGTCACTGAGGTGTCCAGGAATACTAAAGAAAATCTCGGCCTGTCCGTGTTTAAATTAGACTATTTCCTATACTTATTAAAAGGATACTTACCAAAACGAGCAAATACTTGGGCATTAAACATTGAATTTGTATTTATACATATTAGGCTTGTAGGTTTCAGTTCAAATGTCATAACAGTGTTTGAATATACTTAACACATTTCAAACATGACAATTACATGTATATAACATGTATTATACTCATACTACTTTCATTTCATTTCAATTCAAACTCACAAGTTCCAACATGCAACCCAGACCTGTATAGTAACGAATGTTTCTACAGTCATGTAAACATGCATATAAGAGCTCGTTTTTAACGCTTGTAACTATCGTAATAACAGAGTTTTCAGGGCTAGTACTGTCAAGTCAGCTGCACTTGTTTCACGGTGAGTCGGTGCGTGAAAAGTGTGCACACAGCACCAAAACAAAAACACACCTTTGACCAGAGAAAGCAACACTACTTACCGTCTCTGCAGAGTCTCATGGCTTCGCGATTTTTCCCGCACTCTTTCAAACTTTCTTCCAATTCTGTACCTGAGGAAGCGATTTGGATCGTGTTACATAAATAGTTACACTTGCTGGCTTGTTCTCGCGTTTCTTAACATTTCAAAACTGCACGCAATCGGGCAAACGCTCGCGATCTGACGCGGCTTGCCCGCTGAAACGCAATGGCCGACGGCGGCCGATCAACTCACCGTCGCTCCCGTAGAGTTTCACAGCATCGACCCAGCTGCTCCAAGGCTGTCCCAGCATTATTTCAGGACTAGGCAGGGATCTGCGCTCCGCAACAGTCGCCATTGCTGTGGAGGCTTCTCCCCGCTGCTTCAGCTGTCTGGCCGCTCTGCGCTGCTGCTGCTGCTGCTGCTCCCCCCTGACGTCATCATCGGCCCTTTCCGACATTCTTTCCGCTACAATGTAACAACACAGCAGTGAGCGCTTAAAGGCGGCCGAGCGGATTCCTTCAATGAATGACATTGAGCCGAATACGCGATTCACTCACTAGCGAGCGAGCTCGGCTGTCTTTCGCTCTCCGATGCGTGCCGCACGAGGCAGCGTGTCACGAAACACACGTTAAGAGCAGATTACGGAGATAAAAGTTTAAGGACGACCTCAAAACTTCCTTTCACTGAAGCGAATGTGCGAAATAGTAAGGAAAGCTGGGAGGAATATTTACTTTATTATGCTGTCACACACATATTAAAAACGTATATCTTAATATGTTTTAATTAAAAAGGTGAATCAATCGGCGTGGGAATTCCTCATTACATGAAAATACTTTTTTTTCTGGGGAATAAAAAAAGATACCTACTCCTTTGTATGACTCTGTTTGACCTAGAACAAAAGTAACCCATTTAATCCCACTAGTAATATTTGTGACCGACATGTAGGGTCTTTTGAATATAAAGGGTCTAAAATATGTTGCCTATGTGCTTTTATACAGAGTTATCAAATAGAAATAAAAATGCAGACTGTCTTGATTTCACTTTAACATTTTTGCATGACGAATGTAAATAGAATGAATGTTTCATTTCAGTTTGTCCCTCTGAAAGGAAGCATGTAAAACAGTTCATATAGATAAAACTACCCCATCTGAAACATATTTAAAATATATATATTATATTTAAATTATCTATTATTATTATTATTACTGTATCATTAACCAGTTACAATTATTACCAGAAATAAAACAAATACAGTACTTTCACTTCCAATTTTTTTCAGTGCATGCAGTTTGTTACATTGAGCTTTCCAAGGAGCAAAACAAATGTGTTCACTTAAAAAAAGAACGAGAATTAAAGAGGTTAAGACAATAGTGCATTTGGCAAACAATGGAGAGATGTCTACATGGCAAGTTGGCAGGCCATTTTAATGACAGCCATGGATTAATCATTTAATGCACTGAGCATTGTTTTCTCACACTGGTATTAAGCATATCTAGATTTGACATATTTAACACAGTAGTTTATCTAAAGCAGTGTTTCCCAACCTTTTTTTAGTCGCGGCACCCTTTGGAAATTTTAACAAACTTGTGGCACTCATTACATGAAAATACTTTTTTTTCTGGGGAATAAAAAAAGATACCTACTCCTTTGTATGACTCTGTTTGACCTAGAACAAAAGTAACCCATTTAATCCCACTAGTAATATTTGTGACCGACATGTAGGGTCTTTTGAATATAAAGGGTCTAAAATATGTTGCCTATGTGCTTTTATACAGAGTTATCAAATAGAAATAAAAATGCAGACTGTCTTGATTTCACTTTAACATTTTTGCATGACGAATGTAAATAGAATGAATGTTTCATTTCAGTTTGTCCCTCTGAAAGGAAGCATGTAAAACAGTTCATATAGATAAAACTACCCCATCTGAAACATATTTAAAATATATATATTATATTTAAATTATCTATTATTATTATTATTACTGTATCATTAAAGGGATAGTTCCCCCAAAAATGAGTAAGTCAATGGTTTGGTTACATTCTTCAAAATAACTTTTTTTTAAAAGAACTTCATGTTCAACAGAAGAAATTCAGAAATTCATACAGATTTGGAACAACATGAGGGCGAGTAAATAATGATACAATTTTCACTTTTCACTATCCCTTTAAGATGACCTTTTCATATAAAACTTGTTAACAATACATGTAAACATGTTAAGGTTCACACTTATGACCAGTAAGGAAAGCCAGAGTCCTAGTTTGACTGACTGATTTAGATTATAAATGGTTACATTAAAAAACAAAGTAAAAGTCAAAAGAAATATGCCTATTCTTAGATATATATAT